AAAGTTTTCACCAGCCTTTGGAGCGTGATGTAATTTTCAGTAGCTAGGACTACCGTACTATCACTCAATACTCAGTACAAAAACAGTGAGGGATGATTTTAAAGCTGGTCTCTGTGGAGAAATTTAATTGATGATAAAGTAAACCTACCATAAATGAACCTGCGCCTGTAAAGCTCTGGTTCTGGAACCATTTGGGACACGAACCGATCTGCAGACCGGGGAAACACTGCAGAGTTCAGAGATAATTCTGTGGATGGTTTTTGCCGCACTGGTGTTGTTTGATTTATGTGAAGCGTTAATATTGATGAAAGCAGGTGAGAGTCTTGACTCTAACTGTCTGCTGTACAAAAGGTTTTATTGTTTACGTTACAGAGCTGCTGCAGGGGTGTCTCACAGTTACTGTCTCACACAGACAGGTTTGTTTACAGGCTGCAGTGGTGTATGCTCCCTGACAGTGGGGCACACTCACACACACGTCCAGCAAACTTAATAGGCCTCCCTGCCAACAGCCCTGGACGTGTAACGACCTTGTTAGCTGACCATATTGCAGTTGTATGTGTGTGCATTAGCATTCATGGCGAGAAGAAGAAAATTCTTCACTTTTCCTCCGGTCCCTGCGGAGACCAGTTCTGTCACTCCTGCACCGGCAGGTGTGACCGCGAGAGGGGAAGACGTGAGATATTGGCCAGAGCTTGTGGCAGTGCTGCGGTAATTAACGCTGTCATTAGCTCCTCTGCACGGAACGTGCTGTGTGTGTGTGTGCGCGCAGCTCATACGCAAGACGTCTGAACGGGAAGTGTAAGACAAGGAGCTCTTTTAATTGCGTTTGACATACACTCACGTCTGCTTCATGATCCGGAGCCGAACACACGTTAGATGATTCACGGCTGTCTTTGATAATATCCGACCCATTACAGCAGCAGAGATGGAGCTCATCTCCTTTGCTGCTCGCAGACCCTGACAAACTGCACATCACAGGGCCGACGTTACACAGACAAGACGCTGCATCACTCAGAGCCAAGTGGAATCAGAAATATGCCTTTGTTCTCCCACTTCCTGTCAGCTCTCTCCACCCAGAGGTGGGAATCGCTCTGTTCTCAAAGAATAAACGTTGATTTCTGAGAACACTTGAATCGGTCGGGTCAATATTCACTTTTTTTACACGTCTCAAAATAATGGCACGTAAAAAATAAATATATATATATATATATATTGTATTTATTGTAGTTTAAGCTGCATTTAAATATTCGTACATGATGTGTAATCTGAATTTGAAGGCCAGGTTCCAATATGAAGTCAGTTCAAATAAAGAAAATTAAACCAAAATAAATAAATAAAAAGAAATTGTAGCTCTTAATCCCCAGTATGTCATAGTATGATAAGTAAATATTAAATCTTAATCTGAACTTTTTAGAATTTTAATAATTTTCACTGCTGCAGGTGAAGGTATAAGAAAAAAATTAGATCAGACTGTCATCAGTGATAAACAGCTGCTTCTTAAAGAACAAGTCTCAAAGTTGATCAGTCAACAGTGGTTCCCAAAATGGGGTTCTGGGCCTCCCTTGCAGTCGTATATAGCAGTCTACAAAAGAGGGCGCTGTAGGAAAAACAGTTGCATTTTGCAAAGGGTGGGGCTGTCAATCAAAGTCACACGATCTGCTCCAATTTCAGTTGTGGAACCCCAAACCCAACATCTGCAGCATTAACTTCATCTTTAGGAAGAATCATTTGTATGTGTGGATTCTGAGGAGGCGGAGTTGATAAATAATTACTGCAGTGATTGACAAGCCGGGGTGGACACGGCCGAGCAGACCCTCGTTAGCTGCATCCATCCTGGCCTCCCTGTTCAGATGACAGTGTCAAATGTTCTGCCTATTAGTGCCACTTACACAGACAAGAACCTTCCGGAAGGGACACAAGTCCAATTGCAGACTCTCTCTATGCCAACCGGTATCTGTGAGTGTCCATCTCACTGCATCTATTGGAACTGGCTCTGGTCTAATTCCTGGGAGAGGCTCACAGGGTAGGAACTGTTTGGAGTTTTCTGTTTGACTCGAGCCCAAAGTCACACGTCGGTCCCACGTGGACTCTGCTGCCGGAGCTTTCTTTATATCCATGCTTCACTTGTGAAGTATTCTGCAGGTGCTGGCACTTTAAGTAAGAACAGGATTTTATCTTAGGTCAGCCTTGACATGTGATAGGAGGGTTGCTAGTTTGATCCCATGACTAGCAGGGCTGCAGCCTCCCATAGGTACCTGGGGAAAGGATGAATTTGTTTGTGTACAGCAACATATACAGTATATTGAATATTCTGTATATTCCTAATATATCTGACATTATATATATATATATATATATATATATGGAACTCAGTTGTATCCATCAATCTAAATACATCTTCTTTCTTCAGAAATTATGAACTTAAATTGTTAATTTCATTATTTATCAGGTGGCCTGCGTACACCATCACATCAGAGTCAGCTGTCCCATCAAAGTGGGACTGGATTCCCTCACACCTGTGTTGAGTTGTTAACCTGCGAGTAGCTGGTGTTTGTGGAAAGTTAAACATTTATGTCGACAGATGCACGCCGCCGCGCTGCACCACATGACACAATGTTATTCAAGGTGACTCTGAAGCACTGGAGCTGAAGCCTCTCTGCGCGCTTGACAGTTCATCAACAAAGAGCGAATGAGGTTTCACTTTCCAGCCCTAAACAAGTCTTTCACGGCCTTGTGACTGAGACACACGAGCGAACACAGATAATACAGACTGCAGTCAGTGATCGTCAACTCTGCCGATGGTTTTTAACACAGCACAATGTTAACATTCAACTGCAGTTGTAAAAACTGCCGTTTCCATACAGAGGATGTTCTTTTCTGACGAGAGCAGAGAGTGTGTTTTTTATTGTTTTTAATTTTCTAAATTAAAACGTTAACACTAACAGGAGACTTGGGAATATATTCATTTGGCTGCTGGTGTGCATTAAGGAAAATTAAAACACTAACATTGGATGTGATTGTTGTTGTGCCCACCAGGTGGCGGGAATCAAAGGCATGCTGATCGCTAACAAGAGGCAGGACAACCAAGTCAAGACATACATCACGTACAACAAGGGCCGGGACTGGAGGCTGCTGCAGGCTCCCTCCACTGACCTGGATGGGAATGACATCCACTGCATCCTGGTGAGAGTCGGAACTGACCGCAGGTTAAAAACTCTGTACATATCACACATTCATCTGTGTTCGTCAGCAGTCTGTTACAGCGTGAAATTAAAACCTGGGAAATTGTTGTTGTTGTTGTTGCTGCTGCTGCTGCTGCTGGAAACAGACATTTGAAGTATTTGGCAGTTTAGGAACAGGGCATCAGAGGAATAGTTGAGTCTGACTGTAACGGCGGTGAAATGTGCTGATAATGGAACCTTTCTGGGAGAGGTGTCTTCTAAATGAACCCTTTATTACTGCAGAAAATGAAGAGTGCCGCTGCAGACACAGCCGTGGGGCTCCTGCGGTGACAACGCTTCTCTGCACAATATCTTCTGATGTTCCTGAAAATCACATTATTCATAAGTGCTGCTCCACATGCCCACAGCATTGTCCACTCCACTCCACTGGCTTAGTCAACACCTCAACCACTACTACTACTACTACTGCACACACACACACACAGACACACACACACACACAGCACAGCACCGGACTGAAGAAGTGAACAGGGGATTGGGTTTCAGCTTGAGGGCTCCTCCCAGGTGTTGGACTCGAACAAGAACTGCTGCAAAACCTGTGATGGGTGGAGGAGTAGATGGATGATAAGTGCATTGGTTGATGGGTGGATGGATTGTCAGAAGGATGGATGGAACGGATGGATGATGGGTGGTTGGTTATAAGAAAGAACAGATGGATGGGTGGATGATGGGTGGATGGATGAGTGGATGATAGATGGATGGGTGTTTTGATGAATGGATGAATGGGTGGATGGATGGATGAGTGGATGGATGGATGGTTGAACGGATGGATGAGTGGATGGATAGATGGATGGGTGGATGTATGGGTGGCTGGATGGATGGATGGTCAGGGAGAACAACAGACATCCTTAAACAGCTGGAGGCAGTGCTTTGAACTTTCTTGCTGTAAGGCAACATGATTCTCCACTCCTCCACTGTCGACGCCTTCACAGCCTCTTTATTTCATGTATTCATCTGAAGAAAAAAAACATCATCATGTAAAGTCCCAACACTTGACTTCAGTGTCATTTCAGCCTCACTGTACCTTCACTTAACTCACGCTGTCTTCAAGACATCAGCAGACACTTCCTGCTGTTGATGGTGACATTTTCAGGGTCTGTTTCCTCCTTGGCTCACAGGTTGACTGTCTGTGCACATTTATGTGACATTTTAATTAGTGCTGCTCATCCTCTCTGCATACACCGGTAAATCCCAGCGGCCTGGATGTCCTTACACCACTGACACCGCAGAGATGAAAGCAGACACTCTTTTCTCTTTTCTCTGCTTCATGACCGCATGGAATTATCAACGTGAATATGTGTGTGTGTGTGTGCGCGCGTGTGTGTGTTTCCCCTGGAGACGAAAAAAGATACTTTAATGCGGATTCCGTTGCTCTTTGACAGATTAAGTGCAATTAGAAAAACGTATGGAGACACAGTGGGCTCTCCCTGGGAGAGTAATGAATTTTTCATCAGGAAACTTTTGTCTTCATTAAACAATTTTGTTTTGACACTTTCAAAACGGCTGTTTCTCATTGTTTTTGGCTAATTAAATCAGTCCACATATGCCGAGAAGGGGACTGATGTTTGTTTTTATTTACAGTGAATTCTAATTACCTCTCTGAGGAGGATGAGGAATAATGTGAAGTAAATAATATATAATAATAATATAGTAATATTAACGCTCTGAATATAGTGGGAAAAAAGGGGCAAATTCAAAGGGGTTGAGTGTAAATATTTTGTGGAAATAAATAAATCAGTTTCAACCAAAGAAATTATTAAACTGACGTTTAGTGTTTTTCAGTCGCTGTTTGTCACATAATGCCTCCCCCTAAAGCAGTGGGGGGCGTGCCCCTCAAATTAATTTACTTTTCAATGTTATATTTATTAATTTTACAAATGAGATTTGTCCAATGAGTCTTGTGGAGATAACATTTCTTTTCTCTTTTATTCTGAAACCTGTCTTTTCCAGCCCTTCTGTTCACTCCACCTTCAGCTCCAAACCTCAGAGAATCCGTACCTTTCTGGAACCATTTCCACCAAGAACTCAGCACCGGGGATCATTGTTGCCACAGGTGAGAGCAAACGCAACAAACCAGGTACTAACATACCTGTATCTAGTCTCAGTTTGTCAGGTTGGTTTTGAGCACACTGGACAGATCTCGGTACCTTCACACAAAATAAACTGACAAAAAGTTTAGTCTGTGATATTTAGATGCCAAATTCAAACATATCTGCCAGTAGTAAGGACAGACACCCATATGCTGCAGAGCCACTGTGAACACAAGGGTTTGTAACTTGGACATTTAAACCATTGTTTTTGCCACAATAAGTTGGAATAAAAACAAAGAAACCGTTCAACCCAGGAAGCCAAACTCCTTTTCAGTATTTTCTTCTGGCTTCAGGAACATTCATGTTATTTTTTTCTGTTAATAAAACTCTACAAATAAAATGTTGAGTCCCATATCTTTAGTAAATATGTACAAACTATTCATAAGTTCAACAAAATGTCTTGTGGAGCCCAGGCCCACGTTTAGGACCTTGAACAGTTTTTACACAAGGGGCCAAAGGTGAAAATGAGAGAGAGAGAATCACTGGATTTGTTCTGTTCATGTTGTTTTAGGATGGTTTAAGAGTTCAGAGTCAGAAAGTTGCAGCTGTGGTCATGCATTTGTGTGTGTGTGTGTGTGTGTTTATCCTTCAAAAAGTTTGTATTCTCTAGATCTGTTTGTTTGGTGTGGGAACGATGAATAAACATGCCGAACATCACTGCTGCCGTGCTCACACATCTTCCACTGCGTGTGTCTGCGTGTGTGTGTTTTGGCGAGTGTGCTGTCGGAGTGTTTTTCTCCTTGGCTAGGCTTGCGCATTTTTGGCAGCGTTCACATGTCAGCTGGTGCAGAAATCGACTCGGGCCTATTTTTAAATCCCCCTTCCCTCCGTAAACAGCCTGAAAATATTGTTTTCAACCAGTTGCATATTCATCATGGCTTTAATAATTTATTACAGAGGAATCTGTCTGGCTGCCAGACAAACCCCAGCACTTACAGCACTTCACTGAGAACAGTCAATAAGCTGTGGTTTACAACAAACCACTCCAGCAACCACTGTAGTTTTCCTCTTTTTCCTGGACCTGGACGCTGCACACTCCGGTCCAGTGACAGGTCTGGTTTCAGCTCTTAATTAGCAACAAAAGGAACTTTGTAGAATCTGATTCAGAAATATGTTTCGATCCCTGGGGGGACATTTTTTGATGAAACCGCTGCTGTTACAGGAGGTAATTAAAAGAAAGAGACAACAAAAACTGTCACTTATGTGGGAAAGTAAAAAAAAAAACAAAAAACACAATGTTGTTTGATTTTGTTCCTGTGAGCTGAGGGGCAGAGCAGCTAAAAGACCATAGACTCATGGTAGACTGGTAGGAAGGTGGAGAGGCTGAGGGGGGGGGGCAGTGCTTCAGGACTGGGCTGGTGGTTGTTAAAGGGCTTCGGGAGAGGATGGGGCTGAAATCTGAACAAGATGAAGTTTATGGAGTGATTGTCATGGTGGAGTGAATCGCAGGAGTCCAATTGCCTTATAAGGGGGTAGAGCCAGGGGTGAGTGAAAGGATGGAGGTAATTAATATTACAGAACTGAAAAAAGGCAGATGGGCTAATGGAGCTAATGTGTGCTGTGCAGAGGAGAAGTTGCCCACAGCCACTCCACTCAGTACTCCTCTAAAAGTGCACTCCTCTCTGCCTCAATCTATCGTCTATCACCGACATTTGTCACTGACGCTGGTGTTCTCCAGGGTAATACACTGGGGCCCATTCATTACCACTCTACATGAAGTGAGATGATACTCTGTAAGTGCTGTAAGTGTATTATTTCTGGTAAGACTTAATAGATAGTAGATATGATTAGTCTGTTTACTAACATGGTGACTAGTACCATATTTCTGTATAATTATGACTTAATTCCATTAATTGCATTGTGATGAGCAGCGATGGAGTTCTTTTTACACGACTCGTGATCCAAATGATTTTATAACAGTTCTTATAAATTAAACGCTTAATGTAGTAAAACCACAAAGACAGGAATCTATCTATCTGCAAACTCTATTACATTGTCTTTATAGCCACATAATGCTGCATGAATATTTCACACTTGTCGACTGAAATGGAGCCATATCTTTTTTTTTCCTCCTCTTCTGTGTGTGTGTTGAGCGAACGCAGAATCGATGGATCTGGGAATTTGGCCACGTGAATAAGTGATTCACAGGCGTGGTGTGATTGACAGGATGTGCTTCAAAAACTTGAAATGTGCAATGACACTTTTGGTTCCGTCTGTATGACATGTTGCTGTTGATGTTGTTGCAGGAAATATTGGATCTGAACTCTCTTACAACAATGTGGGCATGTTTGTGACGTCTGATGCCGGCAACAGCTGGAGACAGGTGAGCGTCAGCCCCACAATCACTCACAGACCGACTGTCCACTGACACCTTTGTAATGACTGCAGCAGCCCGTACTGTGGTCATGACTTCTTAGAAAAAGTCCTAGTCTGTAAAATATGGACTACATATTATGTTGGATTTAGACCAGTGTTTCCCAACCTTTTTTCAGCCACGGCACATATATATGTATCATCAGGAAAAACCCCACAGCACACCACCAAACAAGAATCTCACAAAAAGTATATGTAATGAAATATAATAATATTCTAGTTTAAATTTACTACAAATCTACTCCTGTTTAGTTGAAGACAGCGCTCATATAGTGGCAAGAATTGAAGAAAGACACAAAGATCTTCTTCAACAGCTCTGATTATCTTTTCTTAGTTTTAAAAACCATGTGTTGCCACCTAGTGGAAGAGGATTTAATTGCTCTGCCTGACACGCATTGACAAACAAAGAAACATATTTGCAATAAATAAATAATAGTTTGGGACCAGTTAAGTGACATTGGATAATTTTGGTTGGGAATCACTGATTTAGACAATGTGGTCACAGAGTGAACCCACATTTTGATTACACTAGAGAAAAAGTTTTTAAAGTTTAAGATACTAAGCTATTTAAATCGTACACAGGTGTGAAATATGTTTAACATGTGACAGTAATAATAAAATACAGTCGGTATAGTGAATAAGGAATTTCTGCTCTACGTGATTGATCATCAGCATTTACAAAACAATTCTATCCACCCTTCTTTTAATGAACGTTCAAACAAACATTTTTGATTTGTTAAATTTACCTGTAATGAAACGTATTTCCAACCGTTTACTCACTAAGATGGCAAAAATGTGAATTATTTACTGTATATGTGTATTTTCAGATTTTTGAAGAGGAACACAATGTGTGGTTTCTGGACAAAGGTGGCGCTCTCGTGGCCGTGAAACAGCCGTCAGTCCCAACCAAGAACCTGTGGTAAGTGTTTTGTAGATAAATTATATTTTACAAGGACTGTAGTAGTAAGTAGTAAAGAAGAAAAATACAGTTTTTATCAACATGTAGTCACAGAATCTCTGTTCTCGGTGAAGCTTAATCCATGTGATACCAGATCTCTTCTCCAGTTTTCTTTTTTTTTAAATCTATTTGAAAATTAGTTTCAGAGACAGTGAAGTGTCTCCAGCTTGATTTCTTTCTCAGTGGCGTTGAGGAAGGGGGAGGAGGGATGGGTGAAGGCCAGCTGTTCTCCCCTTTAACCGCTGTACTTCAGTGATGAAACACATTTGCCTCCTGATCACCTGTTTAGCTAGTCACTCCTTTTGATAGGTTAATGTTAGGTCTGTGGATGTTTACGATTGAATCACATTTTATTAATCTGTTTAATCGGATGAGGGACGTATGCGTTTTGACTCACAGGCAAAACGATGTGTGGAGTAAATCAATATTTCCACAGCCCACGCCTCGTCCTCGCTCTATTACACACATGGATGGAAGTTTTAGTTTCACTGAATCACCAGGAGCTTAAAATCTCATCAGCATCTCCTAGCATGTGGTTGTAAAAGGTTCAACCTCAGGTCAGCGGCCCGGCTTGTGTCCGAGCAGCCTGACTGAGGCCCGGACAGTCAGTAAGTCTACGATTGTTCAGGACTGTAGACTGAGTAATATTGTTGAGAACAACGACTGGACTGAGGTTTAGAAAGAAACGCTCCACATGTTCTAGAAGACACCGTCAAAATGAACAGTAATGACTGAGATAAACCAACCCTATGAAGATATGGTTTCACTGTGACACATTTTTCCTTATTAATAATTCCATCATTTGGATTAGTCACGGCTTAGAGACAAGTGAGAAACACTGACATCTAGCTGCTGTGATTAGTCTTTCTGCTCCAGCATGTAGGAATGTTGGATAATCAAAATGAATCATGATTCATTGTGATTAATCCAGAGATAATATAATGAATCAGATGAAACATTTCATTTCATACAATCCTTTGATAGCCTAACTGCAGTACAGTATAAGCAGTTGGTGTTTTTTTTTTCCTGGGTCGCTGCTGTGTTGTGAAGGAGACTGAAGACTTATTATTGTCTTTTTATTTCCATGTGTGTGATTTTGATTCGTCTCACACTCAGGATCTTTTTGTTCTCACATCATTACCAGCACCAGCTCTGATACGCTGTCAGAATCAGTGAAGTCTAGTCTTCGCTGATGAAAGATGTTTTTTTTTTCCTCTGCTGTGATTTACAACCTATTAAGGGTAAACCTCTATTCTGTTCTTCTCGTTCCTTTTTTCACCCCACCGAGAATCACAGCCTGGACCCTGACCCTGTCATGTTGCCTTCTTTCATGTGTCACTAAACTCCAGTCTTATCTCCATGTTCCCTGAAATCAGTTTTGATCACCACATTGTTTTTTCAGCACTGCACCCTTTGATATTTACCCATAGCTACAGTAGTTAATTGTGCCGAGACTCTGAGACTCGTCTGCCTGAAGAGCAGGCGGTCATATCGGATATCGACCTAAAACCTCCCCAGTGACGGGTCTGGAACACGAAACGTCTGCTCCTCTGATGTTGCTGCTGCTGCAGGCTCTGTGACAGGAATGCATTGTGACACTGTACACAGGGTAACCTTTGATGAGGGACGACAGTGGACCCAACACAGCTTCTCTTCTGTGCCTTTGTTCGTGGATGGAGTTCTGGTGGAGGCTGGAGCTGAGAACCAGATCATGACGTGAGTCTAGAAGGAATTCCCTGGAGAGAAAACAAAAAGTCAAATAACTGATTAGTACTATTATATACATTCACAGTCTTAGCACTATTACTGTTTGTGTTTTTTTTCTCTGACTGTGAACATCACTTTAATCCTCTGGTAATATTTATTTATATTTTTATTTATTTTTTGGGAGGTCAATCCATCTAATGTTACGTCTGAGAGGAGCTCACATCAGACTGGAAGAATATAAAATGTTTATTAAAATTAAATAATCTATGATCCATCAGTTACCTTAAAATACTTTTTTTACACATTTTAGAATGCAAATTGAAATTTCTTTTTCTTCTGTTTTTGACCATGGGATTATTTCATTTTTCCCATGCCTTGTGCTCACAACTAGGCTTCACTGTCGTTATTCTCTGCTAACAAACTTAATGTGTGTCGTTTGTTCATTTTCTCTCATATGACTCTGAATAAACTTGTTCGTGGTTTTCTTCCGCAGCTTCTTCGGTCACTTCAGCCACCGCTCTGAGTGGCAGCTCATCAAGATCGACTACAAATCGCTCTTCAGTCGAAGGTGTTTGGAGGAGGACTATCAAACCTGGCACCTGCACAACCAGGTGAGACACCACACTGACACACGGCGGGTTTTGTGTGTAGTATGTTATAATATGTTTTTATGACCGTCTTAGAACGTTTTGACTCACCATTGCATCTTTCGTAAGGAAACAACAGCAGGTGCCGAGGCAGAAACGCTTTCTTTTTGTGTCCGCTATAAATTCCTACAATAAACTGAACCACAGTCTGCAGCCTCAGCTTGACTTTCACTGTGTGTTTTACCACATTGTGGTAAAAAAGATTTTCACTGTGTGTGATCTGACCACAGGGGGAGCCGTGCGTGATGGGTCAAAAACAGATTTACATGAAGCGCCGGCCTGGGAACCACTGCATGCTGGGAAAAGACTACTCCAGAATCCTGTCGGCTGAGTCCTGTATTTGCCGCGCTCATGACTTTGAATGGTGAGAAGAATTCTGTTTCTTTGTTCTGCAGCTCTTTGTTCATGGTCTGTGGGGGGGGGGGATTATAAAGATTATTCTCTCCGTTGTCTGTAGAGGAGCCTCACTGCTGCCACCTATGTTGAAGTGCCGCCGATTGAAGCTGCTTGTTGTGAATTAATACCTTAATTACCTGGTGTTGGACTTGGTCCAATCAGAGCACGGCTCACAGTACAGAAGCTGGTTGCTCTGAGCCAATAACAGCAACAGAGTTTAGACAATGACGTGCACCGCAGAGTGACAAGAGTAGCACTGATTTAGTAGAACAGGAACAATTCCAAATGAAATTTCAGCACAGTTTTCTTTTCAACGTCACCTGACAGTGATGGGTCACTGCACGGAACTGATTCCACTGCAGCAGAGTCCAATAATTTACTGCCTCACATCAGTCCTGTGTCGTTTGGTCTTTATGTCAGGGAGGTGTTCCTGCAGCTGCTGGTCTCAAACATCCGGGAGCAGATTTTATGTTCTGGTTTTTAATACCACAGAAGGTTAAAAACTCTGTAGTAATGAAGTGAAGAAGCTGAGGGTGACTTTAAAAGACTGTGAGCCTCAGCACTCGGAGTTCCTACTTTATCATTTACATGCTCTGCCAGTTTTATAAAGTCCAACTAATGAGCCTTAAGTGAGAACAAGGCTTTTCCCTAATGGGACCAAACATGAGGTTAAACTGAAAATAAAAACCCAAGTGTTAACATGGGTTTTTCTTCTGCAGACAATAAATAAGTCCAATCAGGAAATCACACAATTCATTTCCACTTCCAGGTTAAAACGGTGAGTTTAACTTAAAGACTGTAGAGACCGTGAGACAGCCCACCGGACTGTCCAATCCAGCCCACAACTGGATTCCAAAATATGCATCGAATAATAATGTGAAACAAAAATGTGATTTTTATTTCATTTTATTTGATGGGTCCCATTCAAGAGTTTCAAACAAATTATCTCAATCACAGGAAGTGTTTCCTTTTCATGTGAACCTCAGCAGAGTATCAAAGTCTCATCAAATAAGAACTTCTTTAGAACGATATAAAAGGTCAGAGAAGAGACAGAAGAGCGGCCTTCTGGATTCAAAATGGTTGACCAAAAGTTTGACCTTGGCCCCATCTGTTTATTTTGTCCTTAACCACCAGTCTGTGAGAACACTAATACATATTAAACCCATCATTGGTGCTGAAATAACAGTGGAACACCGACAGAGAACACTGACCTGCTCTCCTGCAAATTAGCTTCAAATATTATCCTCACTTCAGCAGACTATAAGAGTAAAAGGAAAGAGAACTAGACCCAGGAGTAAAAGGTTTTTAAGTGTGAATTCTCATCTACAGTAGTTTATGTTTAACACAAACAGAATGAAGTTGGTCTGTGATTGGTCGGTTTACCTTTCTCTTTTTAATTGCTGCAGTGTGAGACCAAACCATTGATATGTTTTTTTTTTGTTCCTACTTAACAAATGCAGAACAATTCCTTATTATCAGACTAAATTTTCCACCTGTGCAGAAAGTGTACTGACCCTTCACCTCTTTCCCATCATGCCCCGCTGTGACCGATCGTTTTTGACAGCCCCTTAATGGATAGGTCACACCTCTGTGATCTCAGGATCCAACTGGACTGTTCAGCCACGGGCCTGTTAGCTGTGTTTGTTCTAGGCTGCTAATTAATTGATAAATCAATGTCACAGCCATTATCACGGCCGGCACTTGCTTAGCTCGCTGCTGTGGATGTAAATCATGTTCTGATTGGAGACAGCAGCGCGGCGGTGGGAGTTAGTCGTACCAGCGTGGACGCACGAGAGAGGAGCGGGAGCTCTCCCTGCAGGCTGTGTTTTCATAAACACTGCTCCACACTGCTGCGCTGCATCTCTCAACACTGGCCTTAATCAATACATAATAACCATGTGTCTGTGAGCCAGACGGGCCCCAGGCCCCCCTGTTGTAATGAGACAGATAAGACTGGGACATGTGGGACCGGGGTATGATGATAATACGCCCCTGTTCACACGATGCTATTGATTTGGTGGCTTTGTTGTCCAACAGTGACTATGGATATGAAAGACGAGGAGAGGGGAACTGTCGGCCGTCCTTCTGGTTCAATCCCTCTACTGTGTCCCGGAGCTGCAGCCAGGGGCAGAACTACTTCAACAGCACTGGGTGAGAACCGACAACATTTTTTTAGAAAGTGAACTACTTGTCATTGCGACACAGCACACCACTGCACACAACCAAATGTGATGGTTTTAACTCATCGCCAAGTAATCAGGGGGCAACAGGGGGAGCAGTGTTTGAGGACCTGAGGGCCTTCTGGACCCAAGTCCGCTTCCTTAACCACTGAGCCACCACTGCCCCACTTTGTATGTTATTCACATGTACACAATTGCTTAGCTAATGCAAAGCTAACAAATCTTTTTCATTTAAGTCTAAACTCTTCTCCAGTGTTGTTGCCATCAGAGCAGGGTGTCAAAGACAATTTCACCAGGGAGGAGGGCACATCAGAAATACAGTTCCCCTTGAAGAGCCGGTTATAAGTGTAGCTGCTGTACTTGATAACATATTGATAAATGTTTCTCCACTTAATTAATATTTATTGAACATTTTATAAATTGCTCTGTGTAATTACAAAACAGTTTAATATATCAGGTTAACAAACTCAGCAGCATGAACTTTATTATAAGGTATTGAAACACTTTTTAAGATCCTGCGGGTCAGCACAAAATGATTTGATTTGGCCCACGGGTCTTGGTTTTAACACATGTACATTAGAGAGTTCCTTCTTTGTAGAATCCAGGGGAAAGTCTTTGACACAACCTGCTGCTTTGTCTGGTCCGAGGACTGAAATCTGATTTCTTTAAATCTGCCGTGGTAAAACTGTGGCTCGCAGCCTGGACACTGCCGGTCACATTTTTCTTTTTCCTGCTTTGCCGGGCCTCAAATGCATTTCCTGTGGATCCCACGATTCATTATTTCTCGAGAATGGTCCATCTCTGTACCACAGTCGTCCGAGGGCACTGTCTGACCACAGGCTGCTGGTCTCACTGCCACAAAATGGTGAAATCGTCTGAAAACGCTGTGTTTAACGCTTTACTAAGCAACGGCTCAGATGTTGTTGATGTTGTTTGGCTGTGACTGTAAATGATGTTCACTGATGAACACCTCAGATGCAGCCTGAAAATTCTCTCAACCAAATCACGCTCCTGTAACATCATCACCCACAATAGAGTGGAGACAGCATCAGTCCAACATTCAACAATTTCTGTCGTAACACAGTTTCCCAGAACTTCCCGTTTAACTCTCTTTGACTTCTGTTGGTCTGCAGCCTCCGTGGTCCAGTCCCATCCACCCCCCTAGGCTGCTTGAGCCGTAGGCTGCATCTGTCTAAATGAGTCATGACTCGAAGAACATGGAGTCTCAAACCTGCTGGTTTGACCCTTTTGCTTTGTCAGGAAAAAACTGCCTCTCACTGCACAGCCCCAGAAGAAGATTCTTTTTTTTTTAAGTTACATAATCTTCCCAAATTCCTTCTGACTTTTTAGAGTTCTACTTCCTCCTGCACCAAATTTAGAATACAACCTAAAAGGA